CCTGCTGAAGGTCTCCAGGACTTAGGGTGTTGTTGATAGCCGGGCCAGAGCAACCAGACCTCGGGCTCTGGTCCATACCCACACCATCCCCCGGCTGATTCCGACGCTCTAACTCTAAAATCCCATCTCCGTTCCGCATTATATTGGAGAAGACCAGCAGCTGAGGCCGTAGGCCGGGGCTGGGAGCGAAGTCAAAGCCCTGGGCCTCCATGGGGCTCTGCGGAGGAGGAGGTGTGGACAACGGGGCTCCGCTCTCCGTCACCCCGGTGTCAGGTGCTGCCGTGCACTCGCCGCTCGACTGGGCTTTATTCAGGCGGCTGCTGGGATGCTCGAGGCCCACCGTCGGATCTCGGCTTATATCCAAACCCGCTTTGACGCCACTGTGAGCCAGAACCTCCTTCCCCAGCCCTGCCACCACTCCTCCCGGCGGCAGATTACCGTTTTCTGCGTCCAGGCGGTCATCCTCGGCTGCGGAAACCAGGCGCATCAACACGAAATCCGGCGACATATCTTGCGCGTTGTTCATAATTATTCCTCAGGATCGCGAAATGAGAATTATTAGGCGATTCACATAGCTAACGGCGGAGAGCTCTTCCCTATAATAAAGAAAGGGCCAAGCCACTGTTGCCTCCTATAAATAAGCTATAAGCGAAAATGCCAAAACAATGTAGCGGGAGATTTTTCCATCCTCCTGCCCTGCGTCAAGACATCATCAGTCAGATATCGGGGAAATGAGTGCAGCTTGCCCCCGGCAGTAGACGGAGCCCTGGGTCAGACATGCGGTCTGATTCGAGTAGAATAAAAGCCAGTAGAGTCCCCGGTCAGTGACCACAGTCTGCCTCTGTGTTCCAGCCAGGCCCCACCCGCTCCTCCTCCGCTCAGCCCATCATACCAGTTTACGAGCACCAATGATGATAGCTATAAATTTGTCCGTGGCATTTTAATATCACCTGACTCCCCTTCATCTGAGCAGCTGATTTCTGTTTTCATTCCAGGGAACAGAAGTAAAAAACATCATCTAAAGAAACGCTGCTTGTATTCCCATAATATTCATTTCTAAATCATTGTGTCCATGGTGCTGGACCACAGGCTGGAGTTTACAAAGCACAGACATGAATAAACAACATTTAATGGAGGAAATATAAAACACAAGGACTGTGTGAATAAAAACAAAAAGTAAAATAACCAGAACAAAAGTCAATGTAAAACTAATTTGAAGATAATCTATAATCTATCAGAGATTTATAAGAGGACACTGAGGTCAAAGGTCATTCCAGAGTTTTTATGAGTAATGTTTCAGTATACAAATATGTGCACATAGGCTACACACACACACACACACACACATACAGTACACGCACATGATATTCCCTCACAAAAACAAATGATACAATACATTATTAAACAATAATTCAAACAGATAAAAAGAGGGAAATAAAAACAGATGGCGACACGGCGAGGTGACCTGAGTCCTCGTTATTCCACCTGTGTTTCCAGACAGGTGTGTTCATCCGGTTCATTTCATCAGCTAAAACATGAGGAGGCTCATAGTCACTGTGTGCAAAGCAGGAGAACCTCGTGTTTTTGTGTGCGCACAACCTCAGCTTATGAAAAACATACATATAAAAAGAAATAACTGTAGGTCGAAGGACTTGTCACGATAAAATGTGTTATTTCAGTTTATTCAGCGTTGCTCCTTTTATTACCAGCTTCTTCCCACCCATTCAGTCCAGCTACTTGACACTACCTACTTTCATTTGCTCAAAACTACTTTATAGCTCACATTTAATGAGGTGTTGGGAGTGGAGCTGGTCCTCTGGCTGTTCTCCTGGATGTCTGCTGATGACTTCACTCCTCACAGGTTTATTAACTCCTGTAAGTTTTGTCTTATTTTTGGCTCAAGACCCTGATTTGAACAGGTTCCTCTTCATTTTTTGTTAACTGCCTTCCCTGACATTATTTCATGGGTTTTAATAGTAATTACCACAAACTGTCTGACACAGGCAGCAAGGCAGCTTTATTTATGTAGCACATTTCAAATGCAGAGGCAATTTAAAGTGCTTTACATAGTGAAGGCAAAGAAAAGCACAGGGACAATAAGAAAATCAGTAAGCATTAAAATCCAGAGTAAAATCATTTAAGACAAAACAAAACGAGATAAACAGTCGATAAAAAGGAACAAAACGCATAAAATGACAATGAAACACAAACAAACAAAGACAAAAGAAGTTCAGAACACAACCACGGCACTGGAACAAGTAGTTAATGTCCCTGAATGCAACACAGCAAACAGAAGTGCAGCAGAGAAACCAGTCGGTCAAAGCCTGAACATGTTGACATGTTGACCTTATGCTTATAGAGGTGAGGTCAGAGCATCACTACAGTTAGTAGGTGGACGTCTGTCCGGATTGAGATAGACAGCGATCATAAAGAGACAAAGCCATGAAAAAGAGAAACAGAACGACCAACAATGTCACATTGTTTTTGTCATTTTGTGTCTGTCGCTCTGGGCGTCCTGTATAGCATGGTGGGGGGGCTTTCACCTGTTCATGTCCAGGGACCCATTTTCTTATAATCAGTCCATGAGAGCACAAAGCACAGAAAGCAAAGAACCCCCAGTTTGACACCGACCTGAGGTCTTGTAATAACGCCAGATGACAGGCAGGTGGCGCTGCAGGCCACCCAGCGCCGACGGATGCTGCTGCTGGTGGGAGAGTGGATGAAGGGGCATTAATCCTCAGTGTGTGTGTTTAGCTACAGTTGATGTGGTGTAATCAGACTAACAACCTGCTCTGATCCAGTCAGACCAGCAGCCAACGTCAAACTGTTGTATTACCAGCGTCGGGAAGCTACTTGGAAAGTACACCAGTTACTTCATAGTGGAAGAAGCTGAGCTACAGTAAAACGACCCCAGGGAGAAATCCAGTTACTAGAGTTACTGAGAAGAACTGTTCAAACTACACTGTAAAAACAAACCAACAACAATAAAAAACTCTTTGACTGCTCTAAGAATGTACCTGCTGCCTTCTCAGCTTTGTTTGACTTGTACCATATATATATTTATATATATTGTTGTTTTTAAGGTGACATGTGTCTCCGGGTCCCACAGACCCGAACAGAGCACAAGGGTTAACAACTACCACAGTCCTTTTCTGACAGTATGAACATTGGTCTAAATAACGGGCCTGTCTTTCACCTGTCAGAGCGGGATCTCTTGTTTATACATGAGCCGTCTCTCCGAGTTCTTTTCCTACAGGCGGTTCTGTTTGGCATCGAGAAGGTCCATGCCAAGTAAAAATCTAAATCTGTTTCCTTTTATGACCCAAACTTGTTTGTACAGTAGTTTACTACACAACTAACAGTAGACTCACTGTCTAAATATGAATGTAGTCAAGCAAGTTACTGTAAAATGCAGTTATACTGCATGTAGTTCACTACCTCCCAGGACTATGTACCATTTTGTGCTGCACTGCTCTGTTTTGTAACATACGTGGGGCACACAGGGCCGCACCCCACCCCCACCTTGGATGCTCAGACCACGTTTCTTTGTTCCTGTATCCAGCTTACAGACAAAGACTGAAACAAACAAACCCTGTCACCAAACAAATTAAACTCTGGACCCCAGAGACTAAAGGCATCCTGCAGGACTGTTTCGCCCAGACAGACTGGGATGTGTTTAAAGCTGCAGCCACCTCAGAGGACTTTTCTGTCAGTGTACAGGATTATGCTGAGTATGTGACTGG